TAAAAGAGTACTAATAAGTGGTACAATAGGAAAGCCTCTTAGATGATCTGTGTTGTTATATTTCTGGCAATAATTCTTTTGGATAAATTTGAATTGCTATTTTCCAGACCAATGATATTATCTATCAGTATTGTGTCAGGTTATATCTTAATGTACCAAAATATGTTGAGATGCTAATAGATTGCCTTATCATAATAGGTTATAGTTCCCTGCTTATTGCTCTAAACTTGATTATGCTAGGGCATCATCAAATGTTTAAGTTGGACAAATTTGAGGTTTTGTATTAGCATCTTTTAATAGTTATTTGTTTCTGTGATGTGGTATAATCAGATTAAAATAGCTGATTGGTATTGGCTCATTGTCTGAGTGTATTATTGTATCTGTATCTGCAGGGTAAACATTGTGAAGATGTAGTTTCTACTCTACGCAATGGTTCAGCAGCTGAGAATGCATTTGCATTGATGCGAGAAAAAGGTCTGTTACTTCCAAGAAGATCAAGGCATCGTTTGACGCCTGGAACTGTCAAATTTGCAGCTTTTCATGTTCTTTCACTGGAGGAAAGCAAAGGATTAACAGTTTTAGAACTTGCAGATAAGATTCAGAGGAGTTTGGATTGTGTTCCTATAAGGTCTCAAATTAGTTTGTATCTTTTACGTGCCTTTTACTACTTTATCTGTTTCCAATAAGAAATCCGGACTTCGGGACCTACAACTAGCAAGACGCCAGAGGCTTCTATTTCAGTTGCTTTGACTAGGGATGCAAAGCTTTTTGAAAGAATAGCTCCTTCAACTTATTTTTTACGAACTGCCTATAGGAAAGATCCCACTGATGCCAAGGCCATACTTGCAGCAGCAAGGAAAAAGATTTGGCAATTTGAAAATGGGTTTTTAGGTGGAGAAGATGCTGATGAAGTTGAAAGAGATGAGGTGGAAAGAGGTGAAGACTCCGAATGTGATGTTGACAAGGATCCTGAAGTTGATGATATAGCTATTCCCTCAAATGCAAACAAATATGCTGACTACACCAAAGATGAAGTAAACACTTGTTCTGGAATGAAAAAGTCCATGCTTCAACTGATGATGCACTAAATGTTCCAGGTGAATTTGATAAGGATTTTCCATCTTTCCCTTCAAATACTGTGAAGGATGCCAATGGTCCAAGTAACACTGGACAATATGTTGCTGGTGAGGAGAATAGAACAGGCAATCCTGATCAACAGAATATTGAAATCAATGAAAGCAAATCTGGTGAGTCATGGATTGAAGGTCTTTCAGAAGGCGAGTATTCTCATCTTAGTGTTGAGGAGTGCCTTAATGCCCTTGTTGCCCTAAATGGCATTGCAAATGAAGGGAGATCTATCTGCGCTGTGCTTGAGGTAGATCCTTAACTACAATTTTGTCTGATTGTGCTGTTGCTATGATTGAAAAGGCGCTAATCATTTTCCTTTTTGTAATTTGATTTATGAATTCACAGGATCGTTTAGAAGCAGCAAATTCTCTTAAAAAGCAAATGTGGGCTGAGGCTCAGCTGGATAAAAGTCCTCTGAAGGAAGAAACTATTATTAAAATGGATTTTCCTTCTCTGACAGGAATCAAGGCTGAAGCTCAACTGCCTAATTCTGCTGTGAAGGGCATTCTAGAAGACCAAAAACACTTACTATGTTCACAAATCAGAATGACCTCTATAATTATCCTGCTGAAAGGGTCTTGGTACTTCAAGAGGCCTCCATGGGTCCTGATAACTTCTCTGCTCAGCAGCATGGATATGCTTCGAAAAGATCACGTTCACAGTTCAAATCATATGTTGCCTACATAGCGGAAGAGATGTATGTATACAGGTCCTTACCTCTCGGTCAAGATTGTAAACATGATAGATACTGCCAGTTTGTTGCTTCTGCTTCTAAAAATGATCCTTTTTCTGGCCGGATAATTGTTGAATTACATGATGGAAATTGGAGGCTGATTGATTCTGAAGAGGTATGCTATACTAATTAGAAAGAAAACTCTCTTGATAAATGTTGGGATGAATTACTAGAATAGTGGAACAAACATGATAACTTTTGTATCTTACATGTGGTTGTTTTTTCTTATGTATTCAATCAATTTCTCTGTAGGCCTTCGATGCTCTTTTGGCATCTTTGGGTGCACGAGGAATTAGGGAATCCCATTTATGGATAATGTTGCAAAAGATTGAATCCTCCTTCAAAGAAAATGTTCGCTGGAACTTGCAATGTGCCAGATCTATGGCCCGAAGTGAAAGGTCCACTGAGAATGGAGCTTCTGAAATAGATTCTAGTCCTGATTTTCCTGCTAGTTTTGACAGTCCTGGTAGTTCAATCTGTGGATTGAACTATGATGCATTGAAGACATTACCTTCTTTTAAAATTCAGCTTGGGAGAAATGAAAATGAGAAAAAGTCAGCCTTGAAGAGGTAGCAAGATTTCCAAAGGTGGATGTGGAAAGAGTGTTTTAATTCCTCGACTTTGTGTGCCATGAAATATGGAAAGAAGAGATGTGTGCAGCCATTTGCTATTTGTGATACCTGCCTTGGCTCTCATATCCCAGAGGAGATGCACCATGGTCACTGCCACCAGACATTTTGCTCCATTAACAATAGTTTTAATTTCTCAGAACATGTGAATCGGTGCAAAGAAAACAAGAAGTTCAACAAGGATAAACATATTCTTGATTCTTCTCTTCCCCTGGGAATCAGCTTGCTAAAGTCCTTGTGTGCTCTAGTTGAGGTGAGCTAGCAACAACTCACTAATGAATTTCCTGTATAAAATGGAATTTTTTGTCTGAGTTATGTATTTATCTTTTTGTTTCAAAATTTCCTTTGGCAGGTATCTGTTCTGCCAGAAGCCCTTGAATCAATTTGGACAGAAGGCCATTGAAAGATTCAGGGCAGGAAGCTGAATTCATCTTCTTCAGCAGATGAACTCCTAAAGGTTTTCATTTAATTGAAGAAGGCTAAATTCCCCAATAGGATTCATTTAATTAAAATTTTCATTTTTCTTTGCTCAAATTTTCTTTTGAGGATTTAACATATTATTTTGATCAATTTAGGATTTTAACTTTTTTAGATTTACCTAATAAAGGAAAATTGATAAAGAAGTTAGTGTTTATTGTTAATGGGACTAACAACTGCCATTAGTCTAAGTAATCATATACTACGATATCCATTTTCCTTAATTAGACAAATCCTAACTTTTGATAGTTAGCATTTAGCCTTTTAGTAATGTTTATGAAATTTATCTAACCAATCTGCCAAGTTCTTTGCTCATTTTTCTTGTTCCATGCATTTTTATCATTTCGAGGCTATCTTATAACAGATGCTGTAACCATTTTGCATGTGCCTATTGTTGCTAACTAATCACTGATATTACATTGCCTATCAAATGATTAAATGTTTCTGTAGAGACAGTTCTGATCTTGGTTTCGCTCAAATACTATATTGGTGTTGCAGATGATCACTCACCTTGAGAGTGCCATAAAAAGAGATTATTTATCGTTTAACTTTGAGACAACCAGAGAATCATTAGGTTCTTGTCCTCAGTCATAGAGTGATTCTACTGATTCTGTGCTTCCATGGATACCCAAACTACTCCGGCTGTAGCTTTAAGGCTTTTGGAGCTTGATATGTCCATCATGTATATATAGTGAGTGTTTCAATGCCTTCTATTCCCCTCCTTGAATCCTTCATAGCGTGTGGGTATATTTTAATGTGACCTATCAGTAGGCTAAATGGTTAAATGCACTTGGTATTTTCCACAGAGGTTGGCATTTTATGAATGTGCCTAGAATCTAACTAACCACCTAATTTTCTCTCAATTTTTTTCCTCCGGTCACTATATCATGTTATTGCAGCATGCTGGACTTTGGCATTTAATTTTTGAAATGTAATCTAGTCACTTTTGTCAAATATACAGAAGCTTCCTTCAAGAACCTTTCTTTTCATGAAGAATAAAGAGCTTGAATTAAAAGAACTAGACCGAGAAGAGTCTATGAAGGAAGAAAACTTTGCTGACCTGAGTAACAGCAGGCGCAACAACTATAAACGTGGAAGAGGGGGTCGTGAACATGGATCTGGTAGAAAGTGGCAGAGGAGAGCTTCTGGTTCTAAATGTGATGCTGGCAAGCAAAGTGCTAGAGAAAACAATAATTTAAGTCTCCATCTCAAACAACGGGGCCAAAGAACAAATGGTCAGAGTTCTGGATGTGGCCGCAGAACAGTTAGTAAGAGAGCTGGAAGGAGGGCTGCTAATAATACAACGGTGCTTGTATGGCTGATGTGATAAAACCCAAGGCCAGTACAGTATCTGTAAGAGACTTGGATGAAGAATGGAGGGCTGAAAAATTAAGGATGATGCAAATGGTAAATCTTCCTGATAGTAACAGTGCAGAAGAGGAGTCCGATGACAATGCCCAAGGTGAGGGATACGAGGAAGGAAAATGGGAGCTAGATTTTAACGGTGCCTTTAATGGGTGGAATGGAGAACCAATGGAAGCTAGTGATGAAAATGACGATGCCTATGAAGACGATAACGGCATTGAACAGCTGGGAGAAGAAGATTCAGATAGCGATTTCGAGATGAGTGATGCATTAGACGAAGTAACAAATAAAACTAGAAAATAACGATGGCTCAGACTCGGCAGTTTCTGAAGATTATAGTGATTAAACTGTCGCATTAGAAAAAATTTTGGTGGTGCATGAGCTGCATCATGTTTTTAAAATTGCAGCTTCGAAAGGCGACTGAATAACGGCAGGGGAAGAACAAAAGTACCAGCTTGGATTGGCTCCTTCCCTCTCGACCGTCAGGGTTAAGTAATTATAGAAAATTAGAGATTAATGTAGATCTGAAAATGAAATTGATTACAACAGGTTGCCAACCTGAGGACATTCTTTTTAGGAATCTTCAAAATGTAATGGCATGTTTTGTAGCAGAAAATTATTAATAAAGTATAAGTTATTCATATTTTTCCAACATAAATGATTATAAATTTTTGGAGGAATCACAACAGTTTCATCCATAGCAAATAGACCATGATGGTCAAAATTGTTCTACATCACAACTTTGCTTTCTCTGCAGTGCTAAATAGATTATACATTTATTCTTCTAGATATCAAATGCATTACTTTAAAGCATAAACTAAAACATTACAAATTACGTAGCCTTGACCAGGAAGGGAAAGAGCAGAAGATACTCACAAGTTTAAGCTTATATTTTTCCTAATGATGATCGGTGTTCCACTTTATGGTGCCAATAACTTCTTGATTCCAGACTTCTGCTCTGCAGTTAACCTCATTGGGAATTTAATATTGAATTTGATTCTCAGGTTACCTCTCTTCGAGGGGTCCTTTGGAATTGGCATGCCTTCCCTTGGGACAACCTCCTCATAGTTTGGATGAATCACATTGGTGACGGGGATAGTCAAGCTCCTTCCATCCAATGTTGTAAGATGGACAGTGTAGCCTGTTAATGCTTCGGCCAGTGATATCTTTTGCGAGACAACGAGGTCATTGCCCTCCCGTGTAAATGTGCTGTGTGGTTTCTCATCAATAATGAAAACAAGATCTGCAGGGACTACATTCGGTTGTTCATTTCCTTTCTCAGGGAAGGTAATCTTTGTTCCCTTTTTCCAACCAGGCTTGATATCAATGGTCAGGATTTCATCCACTGGCAATGTCTTCCTGCAACACAGTAAAATTTGTTAGGTCACCATGTCAGCAAACAGAAAGAAAACACAAAAAAATGCAGCCATGAAACAGTTGGTATTATTAGGTCTGTTGGAACTGGGGATCCTTCCTCAGATTGGAGTGTTTCTAGACAATGAGTGTCACTCGTGTCATTCAAAAAACGCACAAAATGATCAAAGACAAACTCTTGCAGGCTAAAGTAGACTTAAACAAAACAATTATCAAGTTGTCCGCTCGTTTTCACAAAGCAACAAATGCATTTCCATATTTCATTCCAGGTATGAATAGCTTTGTAGCATTAATCCTGCAAGCATATATACTGTACTACAAAGAGAACTTCATTTTACTTTTGAAAGATATCTACCGAAATCAATAAACATTCAGCTGGAAAATAAAAATTAGCAAATGCGTAACAGAAAAACCCTAAAAAATAAATAGAGATTCGAAGAAAAATTATAGAAAAGGAGACATACCCGCTAGCATCCGCAATTTCTCTTGAAATCTTCATCTTCTTTGTGGTTCCTTTATATAACTCCTCAAGGCTACAAGGCAGCGTTTTTTCAATAGGAGGAGCTTTACGAGGAGCCTGATTCATTGGTCTTCCTTCGCCAAAGGAACTGAATAATATATCATCACCAAACATGTCACCAAATGTCCTTGAACCACCTCTCATCCCACTGCCAGCACCACCGCGTCCCATTCCCCCAAAGGGGCTAGAAAACCCAAAAAACTCAGCAAAAATGTCATTAGCATTTCTGGGGTGGAATCTAAACACATTTGGACCATCTCCAGTTTGGAAAAATGTCGCTCCACCAGCATCTGGAGGTGGTACTTGGCCCTTTAGCCCCTCTTCACCATACTGATCATAGATCGCTCTCTTCTGTGGATCGCTCAGAACCTGCAAACATGAAAGTTGGTCAGCCTTTAGCATGAGTCTAGATTTTGTTTTCGTAAAGATCAAAATTTTAATTGATGGGCAATCTTAAGACTAGAATTTAGCAGACACAGATGATGAATATTTGATTTTGATATGAGAGTCCCAGGAACCAAAGAGAAAGAACTAGACTTCATTGATGAAGATCGTGCTGATTCTAAATAAAGGAACGCATATTTTCTTTAGAGTTTAAAATCAATAAACAAAAAAAAAATTGAAAATAGAAAAGCTAACCTCATAGGCTTCAGAGATTTGCTTGAACTTGGCCTCAGCTTCTTTTTTATTATTTGGGTTCTTATCAGGATGCCACTTCATGGCCAGCTTCCTATACGCCTTCTTCAAATCATCATCTTTTGCATTCTTGTCAACTTGCAGAACCTTGTAATAATCTACACCCATCTCCTTTTCTTCTTCTACCTCTTCCTTTTGCTCTTCTTCTTATTGTTTTGCAGCAAAAAAATTTTTTTTAATGGAACTTGAAAAACTATATCACCTATAAGCTAGAGGTTCGGTGCTACTTATTAGTTTCCTGAATGTTTTGATGTGTTGCTGGAATTAATTTGGATGAGTTTGGTGTAGATTTAAGGGGCAAAGGCAGGACAAAGGATACGTCTGGACTCTGGAAGGCTAACGAAAAGGACCAGAAGACTGTAGAGGATTCCAGACATTGACCAAAGACCAAAACAGCTACCCGATGTTTCCCGATTTTGTTTCTGAGTTAACTTCATGAAATTTACATCGTCAGACGTCAAAATCTACAAATAGAATACAATAATTACTATGAAGTAATAAAAATTTTAAACACTTTTAATGTAATTAAATATACTCATTTTAGTTTAACTAGGTTATACCGTGCAAAGATAATAATTTTATTTATTTAATATGAATATATATGTATAAATTAATTTTTTTAAAATTATATTTAAAATTTTAAAATTTATAATATATATAAAATTTTTATATATTGATTTGTTATTAAAAAATAAAATTTTTAAAAACAGTAAAAAAATATGCATTTATTTTGGATATTTTTTTAACAATAATATGTATACACTTATAAAATTATATCAAATAAAAATAAATTATATCTATTTTTAAAAAAAAATTATTGAATGATAAATTAAATAATAAAATAAGTATTAACACACTTTCACTTTAGTAATCTTGACTAAATTATTATACAAATATAAAAAATGTTAGAAAATATGTGAAAAAATAAAAATAAATTAAAAAAATATTTTTCATAAGAATGAAATTGTAATAACAATAAATATATCTTAGAAAAAATTTATAAACAAAAAAAAATTGCAATAGTAATATAATATACCTTAAAAAAGAGTTAGTAAAAAAATAAAAGATTTGGTGTATGACACATTACATTTGTAATCTTAAATTTGTAAAAGATTTTTTAATGGCAATTAGAATTAAATAAATAATTTTTAAATTTAAATTGGATATAATAAGTGATGTATATAATATTAAATTTTTGGCATTTATTTGAAATATAAATTTGATAATTATAGTTCAAATGGATATAATCATTTTGATAATTTTATTATTTAAAGATTTAAGATTAAAATTTTTTGAATTTTCAAAATCTTACATAAAATTGTTTAAATTTTTAATGTTTTAAGTAAATTTTTTTAAAAAATAATTATTTAAATAAAAAATTTTAAATCAAAATTGAAAAGATTACTAAAAGATTTGGATAAACTTAATCTTTATAATTTTTAAACATGTTTGAAAGATTTTGATAATTAAATAATTTTTAAATAAATTTATTTGGTAAACAATTAAAATTATGCATTAAAAAAATAAAATCCATATGTTATGTTTTTTAATTTTAGAATATATATCTCTAAATTAATTTGATTTTCAATTATAATTTCAATAAATTTAAAATTATCTAATTTGCAATTACAATAAATTATTTTATTCTTTTAAAAAATTATCATATGTGTCCTTCAAGTGAATTGTTCATATAAGTGGTGTTTATGTAACAAATTTATTTATGTATACTGTTATATATATATATATATATATATATATATATTAGATAAGGGTAATGAATTTTGGCAACAAAGGATAATGAATATTATTAGAAATTATGGATAGGTAATCAATTGAATTTTACTCAATTATGAATAAAAAATTAACTTAAATTTGAATTATCGAAATAGTAATTAGATAAAAGATGATAAAACACACAATATTATAAGCAAAATCATTTTATATATTTGAATTCTATTTTCAGAAAAACATTAACTTATGACGATGCATCAATTAATTTTATTTATTTAGATATATATATATATATGTGTACACTAATTAACAATTTTAAAACTATATTCAAGTTTTAAAACTTATAACATATATAAAATTTATATATGAAATATGTTATAAAAATTAAAAATTTTGAAAAAGCTTTGGTAAATTCTAAATATGTAATAAACAATATTATTGAGCAAGAAGAAAATATTAAAATAAAATAAAGGTTAAAATATTAAAAAACCTTTATACTTTCTCAAAAATTTTCAAAATTTTTTTATTTTTTTATTATATCCATTCAGCCTTTAAATATTATATATATATATTTTAATTCTTTTTAAATCCTTTTTAAATTGTATTTTCCCATTTGATGATGGGCCCAGGCCTGAACTTTATGCATTATTGATAATGGCCAAAGGAAAAGAAAAGAGGGCCCATCTCTTTTAACTTTTCTGGACCAGATTATGACTTTGTAGCAAACGTCGAGAAGCGCTATCCTCTCTATCTTGGATCTTGGATCTTGGATCAAGGATCGGGATCCACTTGCTACCGCTTCAATCTCCAGATACACGTGTCACCTCTACCTTAAAATTTGGTTGGAAAATGAAAAAGAGAAGCGCCGGTCAAAGGATCATGCACTGCGCCGTGATATTTTCTACACCGCCTTAACGGACCAATTAATTTGCTGACGTGGCATAGATTTAAGGTAGATCTTCACGTTACTTCTTGATTTCGTCCGCATTCACTCCACTTCTCCACCTTCTTCAAAGCATTACATAATACACAGCTGCAGCAAATTTCTCAGTCCAATGGCTGCACCTCCTTTCCTTTCCTCAAACGCAACACTTCATTTTCTTTCTTTACCGTTCACATCCATTGCCGCTCCTTTCTAGAAACATCTCTTTCTTTCCAATCCTCTATGCGCCCCCTCACCGAGCCACTCTCACACTCGCTTCCTCCTCCGCCAAACCTCCTCCCGCACATCCACTTCCGTGACCGTCGAAACCGCCACTGAGAATCATGCTAACTCAACTGTTGTCGTTATCCGCGCGCGTAACCGGATCGGTCTCCTCCAAGTCATCACGCGTGTATTCAATTTTCTCGGCCTACGCATCGACCAAAGCCAGCATAAAACTTTGAAGGAGACTGTTTTATCAAAACGTTCTCGTAACCGATTCTCACGGCAACAAGATCGACGATAAAGAGAGTTTGGAGAGGATCAAGAAGGCCTTGATCGAGGCAATCGACGGTGACGGTGACGGTGACGATGACGTTGCCGTGTCTGTGGAGTCGGCGGCCAGACGGATCGTGGTTAATAAGCCTCGGTTAAGTTTTGGGGAGAAGAAATCCAAAGTTGAGAGGATTTTTGAACTGATGGATGGTTTCTTGAAGAACGATCCGACTAGCTTACAAATGATATTTTACATTCATGTTGAGTACACGGTGGCTCGATCACGGTTTAGTTTCGATGATTTTGAAGCTTATCAGGTAAAACTTAGCGTGTGATTGTTGATTTGAGAGTGAGTTGTGACACTTTTAAATTTTGGCGGGAATGTATTGCGGGTTTCATGTAATTTGATTTTGATTGTTTAACATATTTGTAGGCTTTAGCAACACAGTGTAAGAGATCGGTTGATTGAACGTTGGCATGATACTCCAGATGCATTTCAAGAGAAAAGACCCAAAGCGAATTTACTTCCTTTCACTTGAGTTTCTTATGGGTATTTTTTTACCTTTATCTAAGCCTTATTATTATCATGATTGTTTAAAATTTAAAATGATTGATAATGTTAAGAGCTCTCTCAGAGTTTGGTTTTGTGTTCTAGTACTCCCCTAGTACTTATAATGTATCAATGCTAAAGGATCAAACTGGTGGTTTCTATTACAGAGTAGAATGAGTTTCTTGGATTTGCACATTATTCTGGTTTGTCTTCGTCGCTTTGAATTGAGTTTATGCTAAAGCACTGTGTGTAATTTTTAATTTCAGGCCGTTCCTTGTCAAATAGTGTCATCAACCTTGGAATCCGAGACCAATTTGCAGATGCTTTAAGCCAACTTGGTTTTGAGTTAGAGGTTTTAGCGGAGCAGGTTAGCTTGACATTTGCTTTTTGTACTCCTTGATTGTCCTAATCTTAGATTATCTTTACTCGGCGGATCGAGATTTTAAGTACAAGTAATTGTTTGATTGTGAGAACAATTGAACACATGGAGTAAATATTAGCGGTCATGCATTGTGTGAACTGGAGATTTAAAACTTTGTGAAATGAGGTGATTCATTGACCAAGTATGAATGCCCATATTGTAGGGAACATAGAGACATAAACCTTTACGTTGTTAAGGTGTGCTTGTCCTGTCAAAACAAGCCTATCCATCTAATTATAACTAGAGAGAGATATCTTGTTTTAACAAGTGGCATAAAAGTGAATTCTTAATGCACGTAGCAAGGAAGCTTTTTGGCTTGTTTTATTTTTTATAATTGGTATACTCAGATAATATTCACTTCCTCTTTAGCTTATTCATTATGATATTCAAAGGAAGGAGATGCCGCCCTGGGTAATGGAGGCCTTGCTCGTCTTTCGGCATGTCAAATGGATTCTCTAGCAACTCTGGACTATCCTGCGGTAGGGTATGCCTCTATTCGATGATTTGCTTGTAAGATTTGTAGGTATTTCAAGTCAAAAGTAACTCATCTAAGCCTTGCCTTAAGTAGGGACTCTGAATAATTATCCATACTGGTTTTGAAACCAAAATTGTCTGTGAAGCTGACTAGTATATCTTATAACAAGTATCGGCTTTTCCATAATATATACTAGTTTTCCTTTTCAAAGTCAGTTTAGGAAGTCTTCATCAATATCCAGTTGATCAGATCCTGCATAACTTGCATATCCTCTAATGAATCTTGGCTTTTATTTGTAATGAATCTAATTCTGGGAATCATGTCTCTTCTTCTGCAGTTATGGATTACGCTACCAGTATGGGTTGTTCCGCCAAGTCATATTGGATGGGTTTCAACATGAACAGCCTGATTTTTGGTTGAATTTTGGAAACCCTTGGGAGATAGAGCGGGTTCATGTCACATATCCTGTTAAGGTTTGCAAGTACTTATCTGTTTTAACATTGGATATTTGACATTATCTTATTATTCATTTACAATTCTGTTCTGTTTTCTAAACTTCTGCCTTCACTGCCACTCTATTTTCCTGGATGGTTCAGTTCTATGGGACTGTCACAGATGAACTTTTGAATGAAGAGAAATGTAAAGTTTGGGTTCCCAGAGAAACGGTAAGGCAGTAATTCTTTTCATAAATTAAAGCTTGCACTTTTTTTATAAAACTCTTTATCCATTGGTTATGTCCTTGGTGATGGATGATTTAAATGAGGGATAAATTTAAGTTTATGTGATTGGTAATTTATTTTAGCTTAGCAACATGTCTTCATGTTGGTAGGTTGAAGCCGTGGCCTATGACAATCCAATACCTGGTTATGGAACAAGGAATACCATTAATCTCCGCCTTTGGGCTGCTAAACCAAGTGATCAGCATAATATGGTAATTTTGACAAAGTCCAACAGCATTCATCTGTGTATTAATTAGTAATAGTAGCATGAGTTTTATGTCTATCTTCACTTTCATTTAGATAGGATTAAACTAAGGTAAGACCATGCTGTGTACAGAATTATTTTCAGGCTCTATATTTGCTAGAAATGCCATCATTTGACTGACCTTTCAAATTATGATTTGGTTGCTTAAACTAAGTTACATATGCAACTATGTGGTTTTTCCTGTATGCATCATTTCTAATGCCCTCTCATTATCAATCTCCATTTATCATCATTCCTTCGTACAAAAGTATTGAATTATATCTGAAACTGAATTGTTGCCATCAAATAATCTGTTCTCTCTCTCTCTCTCTCTTGGGGGGGGGGGGGGTGCGGTTGTAAAATTTTAATTTTAATACTTTGAACATGTATTGCTGGGTTCATAAATTTAGTTTGGCATAATTTCATCATTATCCAAATCATGTAATCTGCAGGAATCCTATAACACTGGAGATTACATCAATGCTGTGGTCGAAAGACAGAGAGCAGAAAATATTAGTAGCATATTATACCCGGATGATCGTTCTTATCAGGTGTGGTTGCTTTTCCTTAACTTGATTACTTATATCAAAATTAGACTCTGCCCATCTATCAATTTTTTCATGCTTATTTTCTACGGCATTTTCTGGAACTGTTTGGTTTTTGGCAATTAATTGGACTTCAATGGAGATTATTCATGTTGCTTTGATTAAAAACTTGATTAAAATGTTTGCAAAGGAACTAACTGAATATGTTTCTTTATTATTGGCCAAAAAAAAGAATATGTTTCTTTATTGTCTTTTTCTAGAGCTACATTCATATTGCATTGAGGTAGTTTCTTTCAGGGTAAAGAATTGCGGTTGAAACAGCAATATTTCTTTGTCTCAGCATCAGTGCAAGACATCATCAGAAGATTCAAAGATGCTCACAGTACCTTTGACGATTTTCCAGAGAAGGTTCTTAGCTGCATCTTTCACATATCTATTAGTGCCAAAAGCATATGTTAAAACACTTACAAAAGGGCTAGTGCTTACTGGTCTTGTCATGTGGGTGAGATGACATGGCTCAGTTCTAACCTCCTGAATTTTGAGTAAAATAGCTGTTCTCAAGGCTCAATCTAGTTTTCAATGGCGGATCCTTGCTAAATCATTGTGAGTTTAGATGATGGCAGGAGTGGGAGTTGAGTGTAGGAAGCTTTCTGTACATTGAGAAGATTCTCTTTCCACTTTAATTATTATTCATAGGTTGAGTGCTGCACTGCTGCTTGACAACTTCAATTGCATTTTATATAGGTTGCACTGCACCTGAATGATACTCATCCATCTCTTGCAATAGCTGAGGTAATGAGAGTGCTTGTGGATGAAGAGCATTTAGGCTGGAACAGAGCATGGAACATCATATGCAACGTATTTTACATTCACAACGCATACTGTATCACCTGAAGGATTGGAGAAAATCCCCGTGGATCTACTGGGCAGCCTTCTCCCTCGACACTTGCAGGTGTATTTTATTTGAATGTTGCAATGTATTTTCTGTTAAATAAAGTTTCCCTGATACCTGGAATAATTTTATGTGACTGAAAGTATGATTAGTTTTAGGAATAAGCTTCATTTAAGAAATTTTTGCATTGTGTCATCATTCTTTCAAGGTACAGAAGCCACCGTGTGGACTATTATTATTTTTGCAAAATATTTCCTGTATTTTCGACTTCTTTAGATTTTTATTTATTAATCTGATTGGTTGTCAATTTGTTTACTAGTTTTACAAAATTTGCTCTTCTCCAGATTATATATGACATAAACTTCAAATTTGTGGAAGAGCTAAAGAAGAGGATTGGTTTAGATTACAATCGGCTGGCCAGGATGTCAATTGTTGAGGAAGGTGCTGTGAAGGTATTTCACCAGGCCATCTCAAAATGCGTAGATTTTCAAAATTTTTGTTGTGTTGGTGGATTGCTAGAATATTATGTGAACTGAAACTTCATACCATCTCTTTTGCCAGAGTATTCAAATGGCAAACCTATCAATTCTTTGTTCTCACACTGTGAATGGTGTCTCAAGAGTAATTCAAAATTGTTAACAACAAAGTTATTCAAGGTAAAACTTAAATTTGTTTTTAGCTACTCAAAGCATTGCTTTTCCTATTTGGCTTGTAATAAATTTGAAATTGCTAAGCTTCAGGGAGCATCTTTAATTGGTTGATCTTAACTGTTAGTATCTATTAAATCTTTGCAGGACTTCTATGAGCTGTGCCTGAAAAATTTCAATACAAGACAAATGGAGTGACCCAGGTTTAATAAGTTGCAATCTTCATTCATTTGTTACTTTACTGATAGATTAGTTGCATGCTGCATTTCAATAAAATTTGGAATTCTTACTTTAATGAGTGATGCATTCTAGCGTGATGACT